CTGTTCTGCTTTATGCAGCAGTCAATTTCTTTTATTCTGACTTCAGAATTGCACTTGTTTCTCCAAGGAGCTTGAAACTGTGTGGGGCCTGAGGTGTGGTGGACCTAGAGATAAGACTTTTCAGGAAGGGGAAGGCTGTAAGCTGTAAGGAATGTGTGTTCTGGGCAGGTGGGATAAAAAGTCAAAGCATTGAAGGCAGACACTGCTGAGTAGCTGGTATCTTGTGGTTTGGATCCTGTCTAGAGCAGCCTTGGGTGACAAAAGAGATAGAAAGTCTTCCCACTTTCTGACTGGTATCAGTCCAGCTTGGAAGATGACACCTATGCAATACTCATTCTATCATTCACTGCTGCGGTTCAACGTCCTATCTTCCGGGTTATGTAGCAAATTTGCCAGACACTTCCTGGGCTAGCAGGTAGGAAGTGGTGATTGTTGTCAGTCTGTAAGACTGCTTTAAATGAGAGCTTTTCTTTTCTTTTCTCTCTTTAAATTTTCCAGAGAGAAAACATGAGTTAATAAAACCTGTCCTTGCAGCTAGCTAAGAACAATGAGAATCATGACCACGACATAACCTCTGATGAGCTTTGTTGCAATTTAGTGAAGCATTTAAGTGCTTGTCTCCACATTTGTTTGATTTAGTCATACTCTGGAGAAATGTCTATTGAATTGATCTGCTGTGTCAGTCAGGGCCATGGGGAATAGCCATGGAATAAAAAAGAGAGCAGGTGCTGTGCTGTACACGTATGCTTTTGATTGCAAAACATGTCAGGAGGAAATTTTGAAACATCAGACATGAAACATCTCTGAAAGGCTGGTGAGTCCAGGAGCAAGTGCACAGCCTCTCAGCAGTCTCTGCCAGAGAGGTAGGTTGGGGGACAGGCATGAGAATTCACATATTTGCATCTCTAGAGAGGTCTGCTTGCTGAGGTCTCAGTGAACGTGTCTGGTAGACACACAAAGCATGTCTTGTATACAGCTGCCCAGGTTGTGCATAGTCTCTACAGTTTTCTTTCTGTTTTGTAAATACCAGCAACTTTTTGACAGGCTCTGTTTGATGGTCTGTGGGGGACACCATGTCCTTGGTCCAATGTGTGCTGTATGACTCTGGGTTGATGTTACTCCCTAAAGAAGGAAGACAATGTCTGGCTCATTAGTAAAGGTTGGAATAAACATAGCTCTCTTTCCAAAAGGCAAAAGCCTGGGGCATTTGTTATTCCTGCACCAATCTGGACTGCTGCTTTTGTGTGTTCTGCTCTTTGACTGCAGTGATCCCTAGAGACATGCTTAGCAGTGAAATCTCATAAAAACCTGCACAGGGCAGGTGTTAATTTTCAGAGGTTTTGACCCAATCTTATAGACATTTGGACCAGAGAGCAACAAATGTGTTTCCTCAAGGTAGATTTTTGCTGTTTCTAAAACTCATTCAACTAGATGAAGAAAAAAAATACCACTGAAAAACTGGGGAGGTAACTGGGGGAAGTATGCAGCCTCTTCACTTCGTATTTGAAAGTAATTTTATGGCTCAAAATGTAAGAGAATAATTTAGCAGGAAGAAAAGAACAAGCCAAAGAATAAGACAGAGGCTTTGGCCAAATCATGTAAGAAATGCTCAGTGACTGTAGGAACCATATCAGCATTCGTTTGTGTACAAAAATTGTTGTAGTCTAATTCTGCTGAACTGTCAGGAGAAATATTAACTCTTTATTTTGCTTTCTTTCTGCAAAGTGGTCTTAAAATCTCTTGATAGCTTTTACCTGAAAATTAAACAAGTGCCTACAAATTGCCAGAAATACCCATCCGTTCACCTTTGCCTGTTTGCCTTTGGTTCAGAGCTCCTTATACAACTTCAGAGAAGATAGGTTCTGTAGAAGTAGTGAAAACTCCAGGCTTGGAAATACTTCATCGTATTTCTCTGAATGGCACAGTGAAGTTCAGTTAGTGCTGAGGACCTCTCTTTGCTAGCTCAGTGTCAATAGGATGAGGCATGATTATTCCTGGTGTTCATAACTGTTGTTATGTGCTGTGAGAAACCTACTCTCTTGGAACACTGTGACCAAGAGTTGCTGCCTGTGTAGCATCAGCATGAGGTGAATTATGCCATAATGTTTGACCTGCTTGTTTATGGTTCAGTTAAACCAAATTTCCACAGAGCTGAATATTAAGGATCTTCAGATAAGACTTCCAGTTTCAGAAAGGAGCCAGTGGATAACAGGATGAAGAGTGGGATACGCTCATGGTATGGCTCATGCGAATTCAGCTGTGGCATATGCACAAGACTAATTTCAACTCTGCAGCTTCCAAATTATTTTTGGTTTGGGTCAGCATTAAGGCTATCTAAATGTTACTTTTCTGTTGAGCATTATGTCATAGCTATTATAGTATGTGATTTTCAGGCTTGTTCATACTTGATGTGCTACTTTTTGCTTATCATGTGCATCAACAGTTCTTCTACACGTTAACATATTTTGAGGCTGTGTAGGAGTTATGTGCCAGAGGGAGTAAATCTAGCTATGTATATAAGGTGAATTACAAGTGCGGATTATATGTGTGAGAATCAGGGACATTCCATACCAAAATACTTCATTTAAGTGACCTATTTGAAGAACTCCATTAGCTTGTAGTAATGCTAGGTGTTAACCATTGTGCACATCAGATCCTGGGGGAGCTGAAATAAGACATAGTTATCCAACTGATATATGTACTTTCTCTCTCAAAAAAAACCCAAAAACATCCTAGCTGTCTGATACTCACCCAGTCTTAAGTCAGGTATCAGACCCTTTTCTTTGAAGGCTTGTATCAAAAACAGAACTGTTACCTTTGGTGTCAAACCTACTGGGCACCTTTCCTATGAACTGAAAGAGGAATGGTGTTAGTGGACAGCAGTCCAGTATAGTGATCTTCAAGCACAGAACTTGCTTAATATTAGTTTTCTGTTTTGTACTTAGAAACTGAATATGTTTATGTTTAGATGTGTGACTGGGAAAGCATACAGGCGTCTGTGAGGCTCAGGGTCTTTGGATAGCTATTCTGGCAAATTTTCATAGATTAGCCTGTATGGTGAAATCTTTGAAGTCATTGACAAAAGATCTCATTGAGTGTCAGGAATTAGGGTGAACCTTGAATTTCAGGGCCATTGTCCTGTAGCTCTTGCAAACTGTAAGTAAAGTTCAGGTTCATGACCACCTGAGGAGCTAGAATGTACCTAAGTCTATTAGAACCAGTGAGATGTATCCCAGACTTCTGAGGGAATTGGTTGATATAGTTGTCAAGCCATTCTCCATGGTATTTGTAAAGCCACCCTAGTCATGAATTCACCATTGTATTGGTGAAGTCCCAGGTGACTGGGTGAGGGAAAACATGCTACACATCTTTTAAAAGGGTGGAAAGGAGAGCCATGGCAACCAGGTACCTCCCAGCCTCACCACGTGCCGGCGAACATCATGGTGCAGATCCTCCTAGAAGCTGTGTTCAGGCATATGGAGAGCAGGGAGGTGATTCAAGACAGCCAGCACAGCTTCACCAAGGACGAGTCCTGCCTGACCAACCCAGTGGCCTTGAATGACAGAGTGACCTTGTTAGTGGACAAGGGGAGGGTTGAGATGTCATTTATCTGAACTTCTGTAAGCATTTGTCAGAGTTCCTCACAACATGCCTGTCTCTAAATTGCAGAGAGATGGATTTTATTCATGGACTGTTAGATGGTTAAGAAAGTGGCTGTATGGTCACATTCAGAAGGTAGTGAGTGGTCAATGGCTCAATGTCCTGATAGACATCAGTGACAAGTGGTGTCCCTCAGGGGTTCAATACAGTGCTATTTAATGTCTCATTAAAGACATGGATTAAAGGATCAGATGCACCCTCAGCAAATCTGCAGATGACACCCAGCTGAAGGATGGGCTGGCATCTAGAGTGACCTGGACAGGATAGAAAACTGGTGCATGGGAATCTCAAGAGGTTTTACAAGATTGACAAGAGGTTTTACAAGATTGATTTACAAGAGGTTTCAAGGTGCTGCACCTGGGTCAGAGCAACCTTTGATATCGGCACAGGCTGGGGATGAACAGATTGAGAACAGCCCTGCCCAGAAGGCCTTGAGGATGCTGGTGGATGAGAGGCTGGACATGATCTGAGAGGCCAGAAAGCTAATTGTATCCTGGGCTGCATCCAAAGCAGCATGGGCAGCAGTGGCAGGAGAGGATTCTGCCCCTCTGCTCTGCTCTGGTGAGACCCCCCCTGGAACCCTGCATCCAGCTCTGAGGTCCCAGCATAGGAAGGACACAGACCTGCTGGAGTGAGTCCAGAACAAGGGCACCAAGGTGATTAGATGAATAGACCACATTTCCTATTAAGACAGGTTGAGAGAATTGGGATTGTTCTGCCTGGAAAAGAGAAAGTTTAAGGATGACCTGATTGCAGCCTTTCCGTCCCTGAAGGCAGCCTACAAGTAGTTTTTACAAGTGCGTGTAAGGAAAGGACAAGGGGAAATGGCTTCAAACTGAAAGAGAACAGGTTTAGACTATATATTAGGAAGAAATTCTTTACTGTGAGCATGGTGAGGCACTGGAACAGGTTGCCCAGGGAAGCTGTAGATACCCATCTCTGTAAGTGCTCAAGGCCAGGTTGGATGGGACTCTGAGCAACCTAGTCTAATGAAAGGTGTTTCTGCCCTCAGCAAGAGTGTTGGAACTAGATGGTTTTTAAGGTCCCTTCCATAGCTATTCCATGATTCTTTGTTCTTAAGAAGGCGCAAGCCAGAAACCCCAAAAACTTGCTTGAGAAAATGACTGTAATCTTAAAACATGCTTATTATTATTATACAGTATCTTTTTCTTAGGTGAAATTTCTGCTGAAGATTCTCACATTGCTGTTAGCAGATATGGGACCTTCTTGATCAGAGACCACTTGCTTGCTGATACTAGCTGGGGATCTTTCCTCAACATATTAATATATGTGAAGGAGGGATCAAACAGTAATTCCATCTCATTTCTTTCCCTTTGCAGGCCCTCTACAATTCAATCAAGAATGAGAAGCTGGAATGGGCAGTGTAAGTATACTTCTGTTGTAAAATTAGAAGTTTAACAACAGTACCTGTGTAGTAACCTGTTTATATGTCCTATGTCACCATATGTGTGGGATCCAAAGCCTGTAGAAGATAGCCAGCGTACATAATGAGTGTGCTTTTTTGCTAATGAATGACCTGGCAAGGCAGCCTCATCTGTTTCTCCAACAAGAGGAGTTGTTAATGATAGGAGCCAACTGCATTTGTAAGGAAAGAGGACACTTCATTTAGTAGGAAACTTCAGCCTAAAAAGAGAGAAATTAAATCCTCTGTTGTTCTATGACTGCATAAATAAAACAGAAGTTGACGTCTCCTTTATCTTTCTGTTCATTGTGTCAGAACCGCTGAATAGAAACACACTTCTTGGATTGAGTTTCCTACTGTTGGTTTATTGTCTTGGTTTGTCTCCTGATTAACTATGGATAACTTGACAACAACCTAATGTGAAAGATGATAAATTAGACAAAGTCTGATATCACCCTCTCCAATCCTTAGTTGCTTTTGACAGGCTAACACTTGTTAACTATGTATATGCTGCAGACAAGAAAAAGCTTCAGTTTCATTTCAGACATTTCTTTGTGCTTAGGTTTCATGTGGTCTAGTTATGCCAGGAAAGGGTAGAAGTGTCTCCTTTTGATTTTGTCACTTCCAGAACAGTGGATTTTGATATAGAATAGGAATATGATGTCTTTTATATATTTTAACTATACAAAGGTATTTCCCTGCATGTATTTACATATCTGAAACCTCACCTTCTTGGGAACAGTGTATGTGGAATGCATGGTCCTATACCTCATGTGCTAGAAGTTGTGGCAACTGTCATAGGTCTTGCAGGTTCAGTGCCTTCTGATCTTCATTGTTTTAAGTTCATGTTCTGCAAACAAATTTCTTGTCAGGGTGTGTAGTCTCACAAGGGCAGCTGGTTCCAAGTGGGATTGCTGTCCTAGTTCAGAAATGTGTTAGGTGATGTCAGAGTGGTAAAGAAGGTGTGCTATTAATGGGAATCAGCAAGAAGTGCCATCTCTGATGAGCATTAAAAGTCATGGTGGGAGACATTTTCACAGACTGTGTCTTGGACCTGGAACACGCTGTGTGAATCTTACATGTCACACCAAAGCTCTTTGCCAGACACTGTCACAGGTGCTTTAGAACCAGCAGAATCCATTATGTGACTTTCTCAATGTCAGAATTTTCCTCCAGCTCTTGCCAAGAGACCATACCGTGTCTAATACACTTGGGCAGCCTCCAGGTGGGAACTGGCTCATGACTGGCTCTGCTCCCATGAACCTCAGTCAAGGTGATTTATGAGATCTTGCTTCTGTATAAGTGGTAACTGCTTTGGCATTTACATAGTATAGTCCATGTCCTTTGTTAGGGGGAAAATTCCAAGCAGGCTAGAAGAGGGATAGTTCAGATTCTTTCTTAAATATGACTTTGCATGGATATAAAGCTACCTTCTTACAGAAGAATGCTCAAAGGTGCCAATTGTCTGTTCCAATCTGAGACTGACATAATAGAACTGATGTTACAGTTAATTTCTGTGATGAGAAACAAAGCTCATTCTGGGCATAAGCAGTACCTTTAGAGCCGAGAGTGCTGGCTGGAAGAGGGGGTGTGAAGATGTTTCTCTTCATTTTTATGGAGATGTGTGCTTGGTATAAAGTAATAACCCCTAGAAGCCCTAAGGCTGTCTGAGCTTGAGGGAGGAGGCACATAACTCTCTTGCTCTACTGTTATGAGCCACAGAGAAAACCGAAAGGGAAGGAGACATGGCCAGTTTTGTTCTGATGGGACCAAAGAGAATACTCTCTCCCTTCCAAAGATTATTCCTTAGCTTCCTTGGTGCACTTGGCAGAGTAAGAAGTGGGAGGTAATGCAAAGGTGAAGGTAGGACTGCAAACCCCAGTGTAAGCTCTCCCACAATGTTGTCATTTTGAGGGAATGCCTTTCCTCCATCCAGAAATCCTTTGAGGATCTAAGACACTCTCGAGCTAAGAAAAGGTTTGAGAGCTGCTCTAGAATTGTTATTTAGTGGATTAGTGGCTATCAGTAAATCCATACGCAGGAAAGGGTAATGGTGAAACATAAGATGCCAAAAGACTGCTATCCAGCCCTTACCTCACTAGTTGTGAGCTAGGTGTGTTATCATCTCGAACAATTTGCAGTACATTTCCAGTAGAATTATAGTCTGATCCAAAGCCCACGCAAGGAAAAGGCTACCATTGACTTCAATTTTGTAATCATGAGAAGTGACACCTTAATCAGCAGATGTTCTCCAGAGACTTTCAGTGGGAGTGTTCATTTATCCTTTTTGAACAGGAAAGCATGAGTACAGCTCTGAAGAGAGAATTGCATTACAGCTCTTCTTCTGCAGTAGTGCTTGGTTCAAGTTCTCCACAAAGTTAAAAGTGAACCACATGCCATAATCTGTAAAATAAAATTATCTGACCTGGAATTTACACTGTACTGGTGAATGTGGGATCCTGAAAGCACACTTCTGCTTCACACTGCAAGTGTGAACTGTTCTTCATGTTTGTTGTGGATAGGCTTAAATTTGAAACAAGGGAAATTTGAAATCCTTTAAAAAAGTTTTCTATCAATTTAAAGCAAGGCACAGGTTTGCCTGGATAAACTACAGAAGCACTTTCATTGGAGGTTTTTGTGAACTGGTTGTTCTGTTTGGAATGGTTCATGAAGAGGATATCCAGCTATAGAGGCCGGGAGATAGATTGCCTGACATCCCTTTATTGTCTATAATACCATATCCCAAGGTTTTTAGGTGCTTCTCATTCTTTGGCTCTCACACTGGTCATTGTAAGCTTTAAGCTGAAAGAGGAAAATCTGTCCGATTACAAAGGTGCCAGAGCTAAATATGTTTCATTTGCATGATGTCTACATGGAAATGTCATCATTGTTTTCCTTTATTTGTAATACTGTGTCTGTTTACTGTTGAAAGTAATAGGAATAAAAAAATCATAATCTGAAAACAGGTGATCTAGAATTAATATATGAACTCCCAAAGCACTGCTTACAAAATTGCTAAAGCCAAATGGCTGCATTTAAGCCAGTTGTGTCCCAAAAGCCTTCTCTCAGCAGAACAGTGCAGTTCTCAAGAGTATAACTTAGTTTTTAACTAGAGAATGATACACTTCTCTATCCAGAGAAGTTTACAGGGACATGGTATATTCTTTTTTTGTTTTTTCTGGACTACACTGAAAACCTACCTCCTTTCAGCCAAAACAAATCAGGGCATTCAGATAGTGATGGTGGGAAAGAGTTGGTGCCAAATCAAACCGTGAAATGAAGATGCTGAAATCAGGATAGTTATAAAGACATTTGTGCTGAAGCTCACCTGTTTTTAGGTCAAACTGAGAAATCTCTTTCTATTATAATTAAATTTTGTCTCCCAAGTTCTGGGATGTTTACTGTTTGCAACTTCTTGATTGGTTTTAGGGCGAGATCAGGTGGTTCTTTTTTTTTCTCTTCTCCCACTGGAAAAGATGCCAAAAATTCTCTCAAGTCAACTTCCTAATATGGATGCTGTTAGTTCCACAGATGCATGACAGAAAACCTGATTTTTTTTTTCCATTGTGGTATTTAAATAGATTAAATCAACCTTCTGCTGTGTCATATAAGTTTGCTATTTGAACAAATGCAGAGATGAAGCAGAGTTTTAAAAACAAAAGGCTTGACCACATTGTTCCAGATTAATGATTTCAAAATTTTCTGAGGCAGAGCCTCAAATCAGACCACATAGAGTGTACAGAAATAATTTTATTACTGAGAGAATCAGATGGTGCTTTTCTCCCAAAAGACAGAAATGGGGCTTCCTTGTATATCTTCTTGGTAGAGACAGAAAATGCTTTTCTTCACCAAAATGGCAACATCTGGATTTTTATGTTTTTCACATCTATGTGTTTAAGAATAAGGGGCAAACTTTCTAGTTGTCAGTTATCATGTATTTGGGAAGGAAAACATTGCTGTTTCAATCCTGTGACTGTAAATGATAGCACAAGCAGATCCTGGCTTTGGTGTGCTGGTTCTCATGGGCAGCCAGAGGGCTGGTTATTGCTCTCTCTGCAGGTTCTTTTCCAAAGAGACAGGCTTACAGAGGTGAAACTGAATCTCCTTGTTTTGGGAAGCCTTGCAAACATCATGTGCCAGAAGCAGAGGCTTAGAGAAACTCTACAGATGGTAACCTTTTCCTTTCACCAGTACCCTGCAGAGCAGAGCAGTGACACATTCATTTCCTATGAATGGAAAGTGGGACTTAAAAGAAGTTTTGCAGCTATCAACCCTTTGCAGTCATCCGGGAGGGGTCACCAGAGAAATTGCTTCCAGAACCAGAGCAGAGAATGATCTTCCTTTGCTGATCAGGGGTGGAAAATTTTGTAGGACTTCCGCAAGCCTAACTGAACCCTCATGATGATGTTTTGCCTACTGAAGGGTGTTTTGGAACCGTTGTGGGGTTTTTTCCCCTAAAGGGACAAGGATTGTTCTACTTCCTATATGAAATGGAAGAGAGGCAGTGGTCTTGCCCTTCAAAAGGACGTGAGCTATGCCTGTGTGACACCATATCCACAACTCTGAACATGCCTGTGCAGACCACAACCCACTGACTCCTGCTGACATCACCGGAGGCCTTAACACTGGTGATTTTACAGCACATGATGATCTTTGAGAGCCATCTGAGGATGGGCAGGTAGTCACATTCCCAACAGTTTAGGGTTTCAAACAAAGATCAGTTTTGGTTTATGTATCCAGAGGCCCCCTGAACTTTCTGCAGTTCTTTCTTGCAAAAGTACCGTAAAGGCTTGTTAGAAGGAAGTTCAAATTGTTAAATCCTTGATAAACAGTATTTGGCACCTATCTATTCAGCCAGCTTTGGAAGATACCTGAGGAAAAGCTAATACCTACATTTTTTGCTACTTTGACATTCCTCCAAATCATCTTGCTTTTTTCTTACGTTTGACCACTGTAGTAACATGGAGTATTTGAGCAAATGAGTCCCAGATCCCCTGGTTTTCATCCACTTCTTGTTTGTAATATGTCCTTCTTGCCTCTCTGTCTCCCTTCATTGCCTGTTGCAGACTTACTTGCATCTTGCAATAGGCACGAGGGCATCTTGCCCTCGTGCCTATTGTCAGAGCACTCAGTTCTCAGAAATGGCTGAACCGTCCGAGTCTCAAAGATGTCCCATTTTCATGATAGAATAAAAGATCAGTTAAATGTTTGTTCAGTGTTGTCAGCAGCCATGACAGCAGATGCTATTCTGTCCTTTCCACCATGTCTTTTGAGGAATTCCTGTTTTAACATCTGCCCTAGAAGTGCTGAGTTTAAGAGCACTGCCCCCAGCTCATAGTGGTGTCCAGGGTCCCCCACAGGATTGCTCATCACACCACTGTGGCTGCTTGGTTAAGGGCACTAGTATATTCCCACAGGACAATTGATCAGTATACAGTAATTCACTCCCATAGCTCCAAAGGAGATAGCTTATTCCAAGAAACTGTGAAGCCTTTTACTGCAGTTGGTTTCTGCTGACAAAGAGAAATCTTTTGTGTCCTTGGCTGAAATCCCAGAATTCACAAGGCACTTCTGTGTGAAAAATCAGCCTGTGTGCTTCTGCCCTTTGAGAGATTTTAATCTGGATTAAGTGCCTCAGACTCATGTTGGGAGAATTTGCTTCTGGAATGGACATAAATCTAAGAAATGTAACACAAGTGGTTCAGACTTACCAGCAGCTAGTGAGTGTAGTAGACCCATGAATGGTAGGGACAAACAAAATTGTCAGAAATGCCTTCACTTTTTCAATTGGGAGAGAGCTTCAACTAAAGTATACTTGATGAAGTCCTTACTGCTTTGACTAATAAAAATTTTTTTGTAGAACTTTCTGTGCTGGAGTGAGAAAGCACACATCAGTAGGTTAAAGATGCAAGGACTGCTCTTCCTTGCAGGAATCACGTCTTCAAGTAAAAATTTTGTTCCTCTTAATTAGGAGGACATACTATATTTCCATAATTTATATGAGGTGGTCACGGTCAAATGCTTGACATTCCCTGCTACTACAGAGCTCACTAATACAGCCCCCATGTTCCTGGATTTGGTTTCTTTGTTGTCAAACCAGCCTCTTAATCTTTTACTTCCTTAGACTAAGCTATTCCCCTGAAGATCATTTCATAGAATCATAGAATCACTTTCTTTGGAATCATCTAGTTTGGAAAAGACCTGCAAGATCATCAAGTGGAACCTTTTACTGAACATCACCTTTTCAACTAGACCATGGCACCAAGTGCCATGTCCATTTGTTGAACTTGAACACCTGCAGGGATGGTGACTCCACCATCTCCTTGGGAAATTTTTTCCAATGCTTAACCACCCTTCAGTGATGAAATTTCTCCTGATGTCCATCCTGAACCTTCCTCGGCACAGCTTGAGGCTATCCTCATCCTGTCACTAGATGCATGGGTAAAAAGGCTAACCCCCACCAGGCTGCAGCCTCCTTTCAGTTGTAGAGAGTGATAATGAGCTACCTTTGCAGCAGAGCTGAAGATAAGATAGATTTGTTGCTGCAGCCTGCAGTTCTTGGAGGACATTTCTTTGGATGGTCATTCCCATAAGCAGCCATGGTAGCACTGTATCCCTAAAGGAGCTTCTGGATTGATACATGCCTTGCTAATCCTCACATAATACATGCCTTTGAGCATATACATGTATTTGGAAGATCTGCCTGAGCTTCCTGTCTCTGCCAGTCATCTGGGTCCAGTGAGATGAAGCAACTTGAGGTCCACCCCCAACGGGTTTGGCAGTATTAGCCATCATTATGCTCAAATGATAATTTTTTTTTTAAAATCAGATGCTGGTCTCAGAAGGTGTTGCTACCACGACTTTCCAATGAAAGCCTTCATACTCCCTGACACACCTTTCCTAGTCACCTGGAGGGGAATGTGTGTGGACTTCAGAGGATGAAGGACTACTCTGTAATCTGGAATGTTCTCTGAAAACTGTTGCTCTACTCTTGTGAAGGACACCCTTTATTTTCTAGGTTGCCTTGTCCTTTTTAGCCTTTGCCTGTGACAAGCAAAATGGTATTTATTAGTCAGGCAGTGCTTGTGACTTGATTGTTGTGCCCAAGAACTATGTGGAATACATTGCCCTAATAAGTAACATTTTGAGCAGCATTTTGTTTCCAAAGTAAAGATACCATAATTCACCTAGCAAAATTTTTATTTTTAAATTACGAATTTTATGCTAGTCTGCAGAGGAAAATAAAGATGTAGAGTTTTTATTATATATGTTTCATATGCTAAGTTAAGTGCTAGGCCACAGTGATCTGTAGTTTTCTAATTCTTTCCATCTACATGTGAACTCATTAACAAATTGGGGATTTTTCAGCTAAACCCAGCAGGAAAATATTTCCCATTTTAGCACTCAAATACATGGAAATAAAAATAGGCAAAGTTGGAGGACAGAACATTCTTGAAGTCTTATCTTTTGAGACAATAATGGAAACTTGGGCTTTGTTGAAAATCTGTGTCCTGTGCTGGTGAAGTAGGTGAACTGAAGCTTTGCTATGATATGTCTATATTTTGATATATCTGTAGGTTTCTCCCTAAATATGGTTCCCTATAAAGAGAGAGCTATGTTTTAATAAGAAGTGTTCAAAAATTGCTGAAATGAAACTTTGCTGGTCAGTCCATCTTTCATGCATGATTTTCACTGCTTTTTAAGGGATGAAGAAGAGAAAAAAAAATCTCACTCGGATGGTACAGATGAAAAGGATAATGGGAACCAGACAAAGGCTGTGAGTCGAATTGGCAATTCAAATAACCCATTTCTGGACATCCCTCATGACCCCAATGCTGCTGTGTATAAAACTGGATTTCTGGCTCGGAAAATCCATGCAGATATGGATGGAAAGAAAAGTGAGTAATTTTTCAATCCTAATGTGTTATTTTCTTGTTATGTCTTCACAATGCCGTGTACCAATGAGCCCATGTACTTCTCAAGGCGAATAGCGCTGCTTCATTAGGGGAAATAGCAGCAATAACAGGCAACACAACAATTGGATTATCACACTCTCACGGTTAGGCCAGAATTTACAATGCTCAGTCCCATTTGCAGCAGCTTAATGCATGTGTATAAGAAGTAATGTGATACAGCAAAGCAATGTGAATTTTTTTGTGCTAAAAGAAAATTAATATAGTGGTTTACAGAATAGAAAACAATTTCAAGTGAATTACAGTAGCTGTCCTGCAGTAATTTGGTAATTCTCGTTTTCCTTATGTGACACCAGATTGTTGCAAATCTCCCCTCCCCTCCAGGTCTGTCTTTAAAGAAAGGCTGCTCTTTACCTCTATTTGGAAGATGCTATTCTCTTCCCTACTTTCCAGTCTTGGGTCACATATCCAATGAAGGGCAGCAGCTTTTGGCACCAGACAGCTTTTTACTATGCAGTTCCTCCCTGTCCCTTTCTTGTAATAATCCTGCAGCGTCTCTTACCTTAATTATCTTCTTCCCTTCTTGTCTTTTACTTTTGTTGGTGATGCACTAATTATTAAGGGCTTCTGATGCACCTGTATGTTTTGTAGTTTGGATAGCTTCATTTGTTGTCTGTAGATCTTGGAAGAAGCTAGTCAGAGCATCTGTGTTTTCCCCAGTCACTGTTGATGATTTGCTGCTCATGGTTCAATTGTTGGGTAAATCCCAAAGACTAAGTCTGACTTGATGGTGGGTTTCCAGTAACAGCCAGTCTCTGCTAGCTGGGCTAAGCTGTCTGGTGTTCACATGTTTTGCTAGTCTGTTTTAGAAGGTACAGTTGGAAGTCAGTATTTTCAAAAAAGCTGATAACTGGATCCAGACAAAGGTGTCAAAATCAGGCTGACGTAATTCTTTGGGATGACTGCATCCTCTAAATAGACTGATCTTTGTTAAACATCTTCTTATTCAACCTTAATAAGTAATTGTATCAAGTTGCCTTTATTAAATTATTTCATTAATTATAAATACCAGAATTGCTCGTTATTCAGTACACTGGACACTGGCATTCTGGAGATAACTCTTTTATGAGTAATGTAATTAAGGCCATGTTTTCAGAAGTTCTGGTACAATTTAAAATCTGTCTTTCTCAGAAAAGCTGCATTCTGGCTTTCAAGGCACAAATAAAACAAAACTTTTTTCTTTCCTTTTTGTTTGTTTGTTTGGTTGTTAGACTTTTTCATATTTTATTTTCTAATGGAGTTTTTGCAAGGCAGAGATAAGCTTGTGTGGGATTTCTAATGAAGTGATGTGATAGAACACTCATCTGTATTTTCTCAGGAACCTAGTTCTGAGGGCTAAAGCACTTTGGCACTTTGAGGAGAAGGATGTAACAGAGGCCAATGGCTGGAAATCAAACTGAACAAATGCCAATTAGAAATAAGGCCTGTTATGCAAGATGAGAATTACTAATCTCTGGGACAAGGGATTTGTAACCTCTTCATCTTCACTTTCTGTCTTCAGAACGGAACACCTTTCTGAGTGTCATGCTTTAGTTGTGTGTGTATTAATTTCAGTATAGCATCAGTGATACACTATATGGATGCTGGTCATCAGTGTGTGCTTGTGGAGGGTGAGCTTAGATGCAGGCTTCTGGTCTCTGGAACTGTGACTGTACAGCCTGTACCTAATTCTCTCCTTCTGTCACAGCTGAATTTCAGACTGGATCCTTCAGCCGTCATGCTGAATTTACTTCCCCCCACCCCTTGTCTCTAGGAATTTATGGGCTAGATATGTTGCCTCTGTTATGTTCTTTGACCTCTAACTGACTTTGACTTTCTTGTGGGATTGGGTATTTTGGTTGGAACCCTTCTCCTTTCTCAATGCCAACTTGGGCATGCAGCAAGGGAAAGGATGCGCTAGGGAGACACTGCTTTCTGAGTGATATCCCACTTGTTCTGAGCAGTGCCTGCCAGCCTACTGTGGCATGTAGAAAGAGTATTTTTTTCTGAAAACTGCCATGGTGCAGAGCTCAGGTGTGGCTGTGTAGGGGCAGTGTCTGCCTGTCTTCAAGAGCAAAAAGACTGGATCTCTGTGGCCTGCTTTCTGCATTGCTGCTGTTCCTTTCTGATCCAGTCCAGGGTTGTCATCAGCGTTGTTGTATTACCCTCTCTAACAGCAGGTATGTGCAGGCACTTTGCTAAGTTGCATTGTCCTTTGAAGAAGATACTATGAAGGAGTTTTAACACAGGACTAATGTAGCTCTTCTGTAACCTAGACAAAGTGTAAAAATGGATCTGAGTTAAATGGGTTTTCATTTGTTTTCTTTCCAGCTCCCCGGGGAAAACGAGGCTGGAAAACCTTTTATGCTGTGCTGAAGGGAACAGTCCTGTACTTGCAGAAGGTAGGGGAAATCACTGTCTTTTGAAAACTAATTAGAGGGATAAAGCAGCGTGGATCCTCTTCACTCTCTCAGTGCACCTCCAGGCTCCTTTCCCTCTGATGCACAGCATGGCTGAGCTCCCTACCCCCACCTTATTAGCATACACATTCAGGCATGAATCCTTTCAGTGACACCCTCTCCCTTTTCACAATTTCAAGATCAGTTCCACTGCCTGCATCCACATGTGCTCCCTGTAAGTTTCAGTATCTGCCACTGCTATCTCACACAACTGAAAAAAATAGCCAGCGTCACCTCTCTGTGTCATGCACACATTCCTCTAGGCTGCTTTTAACTTTACATTTCATATGTATGACTTCCCCTTCTGTAAGATTCCCACCTTTTCACAGTATACTTTTCTGCAGTGCCTGCAAGACCAGCTGCAAAACAATTGAACAACAGCTTGGCCTTGGTAGGAATCTGAAGCTTCTGTTCCTTTGCGAAATCGAAGGATAAAAGGATGCTTTTTTTCCAATGAGCAAGAAAAGACTGGTTTCTAACAAAATGTGCTTCCTGACAGCCACATGTCTAAAAAAAAATGTTAGATGAAGCGCTTCAGGCCTTTTGTTGCAAGCTTAAATATATTATAGTACATTTTTAACTATACTGTTAGAACATAAAATGCAACGTATGACTGAGAACTGTCAAAATCAAATAAATGGCAGCAGGTAAGTAGGTAGTTAAGGCTTTTTGCCCTCCAATATAGATGAAATATTCATGGAATAGATACTGCTTGTCCAGACTGTCCTATATTGCAGAAGTATGCTTCTTTGAAAGCTGTTTTACATTTTCACTCAAAAAATGATAGTTTTGTAACTATCAGGACTGCAAGTACATACTGCTATTTCCTCCTCCCCTGCTGTGGTTTTCTGAAGTTGTTGGTTTCATTGGAGCCAACCTGAATGGTATCTTCTCTTCTTGAGAAGAAAGAGTAATTTGGATCAGATTATTATAGCATGAGGTTTACAAGGTGAATGCTTAGGGTGCAGTACCCTCTTTTTGAGGGTACTGAAGTCCTGAAACAGACAAAACAATCTGCAGTCAGGATACAATATCTGGGCTGAAAGTTGGATGTGATATACTCAGAGCCAGTGCAAGAGACTAAAATCAAGTGTGCTGAATCCCAAATCTTTTTGCTGGGAGCAAGTTCAGGTTTTACTAAAATGCCTTCATGGCAGGCTTGTACTTACCCTTTTCTGACTGAAGTGGATTCATCTGCTTCAGTTTCTGAAATAAGTAATCTTTAATGTTCACCTGAAAAGACTGCATGGTTCTCTGAGAAATAAGAAGGTTCCTTTTTTGTACAGCAATACATAATTTCTTATTTGATATTCAAGGGAAAGAACTGAGGATACTGCCTATTTTAGCACCTTAGTTAAATATTTTTATTAATATTGTTGGCATATTAGTGTAAAATACTTTCTGTTTAATAAATGTAGAGATGCTGATGTAGCATGCAAATTTTCTACAGAATGCTGCCCTCCCCGTTGTTGCCCTCCATGCTTTCAGGAGCAGGCAGTAATTTCACATATGACGGCATCTTTGCAGAGTGAAATGCATTGTTGGAATTTTTGTTCTTATTTGTTTGTTATTTGTGTAATTTTCACTTGTCAGAGCACTTGAATTCAGTGATTACAGGGCAGTACTCTGCAGAGCTGCATTCTCTCCATTTGCATGGGAGCCATCTACTGCCTTGAAGCCATCTTACTGTAGCAGAGTGACAAGCAAGGCTTTTGCTATCGTGCTGTTAGAGGTTGACATAAGGGTGTGATGGGAAGTAACTCATTCCAAGAGTGACGGAGCAGCTGTGAGCCTCCCCAGGGTACCTCTGGCCCCTGCTCAGCCACATGCTGCAGCTGTGATAAAGCCTGTGATTTCAGCTTTAGAAGGTCCACCAGGGCTTTCCTTCAGCACTAAAATAAACTTCACTCTTTTAGGGATGTAGTTTCATAGAAGCTGAAGGTGCCAGAGTTAAAAAATACTCAGCTAGATCAAGTAGTTATAGGAAAGGTTGCTGAGCTGCTGTTTCCTTCTGTAATATACTAGGGACTGAAATTATTCTAATTTTAGTAAGTACCAAAGCATTTTAGCACAGCTTGATTTCTTTGCAGAAGTGCATTGTTCTGGCAACAGTCCTTGTCAAAGGATTTCCTTTTCTCAATTCACCTTCTTTCCTGATTACAGAGTGCAGTAGGGCAGAGTGCATTCACATCCACATCCTCTTTCTCTCATTCTCTATATAATTTTTGGAAATTACATCTGTGATGGTGGTTTCATTGCAATGAGCGCTATTCAAGCAGGATAGAGAGAAATCTCACTGTACATGTGCTGTCTACACACAAACACATGTACAGACTTCTGCAGTATTGGTTTCTGTGTTCATCTGTAACTCAGCTGTTCCCTCAAGACACTATTGTAATGTAAATATTAATTGTTCATAGCAGCTGTGATTCCCCCAGTGAGCAGTGTGATCCCAGTTCTGCTTTCACTCTATTTGTATTCCTGCTCTCCTTTTTTTGCTGTCAAAGTCCATGTATGAGAGTGTTTTGTAAATGGTGGTCACTTGGGATTTACTGAGGACTTTTTCTGGGCAGGCTTGTCTTCCTGCGTACCTTTTTTTTCTATTGGAGTTGTTCCAGTGCTAATTCCTGTGGTTCATATTGTTTTGTTCTTAAATGAGTGATTTAGGAGAGATGGTTTATGAATTAGTGGGCACAGAGAGCACCACAGGAGCTCAGTGGAAATGTTCACAATTAGCTAACTAAACGTGCCTGCAGAGTATTATATATAAAATAAGAAGTTTGACATGTTTGGGATGTTGGCTGAGTCTCTGGGCATCCTCAGGCCAAGGTTAATTTCCTGCCCTCTGTTCATAGCAAGAGGAAATTGCAAAGTAGGAGCTTGACAGAATGTCTGTTCACTAGACTGACATGGGATGTGATGTGCATACACAAGAAAAGCTTATAAGGAGAGGACATAATGTTGACCTCGCTCCTTGTTAGAAATTGCTTCTGGGCAAATAGTGCAGGACACGAACCTTCGTGTTTTGTTTGGACTCTTCTGTGAGGTTTGCAACATCTTTTCTCTTTGATGTGGCACTTGATAATGTTGCAGGCTTCAAGTATTTTTATATAAATTTTCTCAAATTTCCTCCATTAAAATTTTTTTAAAAAATAAATAGGGAAAGGCCAGACTGATGTAAAATATTTGATTGTGAGACTTTCTGAAAGAGAATTTTGCAGCTGTCACATGCAGCTGCATGGAGATACCCATCCATGGTACAGTGACTGATAAGAAAAGACAAATGTCATTCTCTGGTTTACCAAAAACGTATTTAGAAATATGCTGACTCTAGGTCATCAGGATGTGTGCCATTCTCTAGGGGTTTGAGAAAGATGAATTCAGCATGCCATTGCATTGTATGCAGCATTCACATCAGCCTTCAGCTGACAGACAGATCAGTTTCTCTCTGGCTCCATATATATTTCTTGCCACTGTCTAGGTCTAACTTTAGAGAACTGCCTTCCATTTCAGCTCAGCCTGCACACTGACACCAGCACCATCATTGCACATGCTGTCCTTGATGGCTTAGACAAAAATGGATGTTCCTACTTCCTCAGAATTCCCTACCAGTCTAAAAGAGTTGAAGGACTTGGAGAAGGAATTTTGACAGCACATTTGTGTCCTTACAGCTTTCTCTGAGGCTGCCAAACTACGTGGAGACATTTCTGGTATGCTGATCAGTGCCTTTGGAGAAGCTGGCAGAGCCCCAGCTGTCAAGGTAGATTGCAGGCAATTGATCTGGTAGGATTAGCAAGGATTACCATGAATGCTCTCTGTTGGAAAGAAAGGGGTTATCAACCAGGGCTGCTTCTGGGACTACCCAAATGTGGACTTCTTCTGAAACAGGTTTAGTCACCAGAGAGGGTTGTAGACATTGGATGCAACTCACAGAGGAAGCTAGGAGGCAACAAGCTAAGTGATAGCTGACACCATCTCTAGGCAGTAATATGAGGTAAAATAGAATATCATATGTCTGAGGCCTAAGTTCATTTCCTGGTGTGGTGGGTTTTAGCTCTAGCTAAAATCACCGGAGTACTTACTTGTTTTTTGCTGTCAGATATGGATTAGGGGAAGGACAAAAGAGGCTTAAAACCTAAAAGGAATAAAAAAAGTTTATTAACAGGACTACAAGAATAAGAAACCAGAATAAAACCTCCAGAAACCTTTTCTCCCCCCACCCAACCTTTCTTTTTCCAACTGACAATGTAGAGACAAACCTGGGATGTTAAAGCAGTACCAACTATACAGTAGTCTTTTCATCAGTCTTTGTAGGGAGAGGAGTTTTTTCTTGTCATTCCATGGAGACTTCTCCACAAGAAACAGTTTTCTGGTGGCTTTTCATTTCTATAACTGGCAGCTGCCAGGGCACAAACTCTGCCATCATATACCTTCCTCCCATTTTCACACCACTCAGAGGTGTGCTCATGGGCCATGAACTCATGGGGTATTATCTTAAGGATGAGTTATTCAAAGTCAAAAGTTCTCTTCATCTGTCTCTGTGGTCATCTCTGAGAACAGAGATTTTCTTCTCTCTCTGGAGACAAAGGGTCTTCATCAGCTCTCATCTCTCTCTCTGTTCAAGCATCTCATGGGATCACAGCTACTCCAAAATCTGCTTGGCTTCACCAATGGATGCCTCTGCTCACATCTACAGTTTGAATACTTCATTCCCCCCAATACTCTTTCATGAATTAAAGGAGTTATTTTCAGAACATTATTGCCCATCTCCATGGCCCTACCAAAAGGATATTTTAGCCTATTAGAGCATCTCCTCATTCTCCTTCCATCTGAGGCTTGACTCTTTCTTTTACTGACTTTGATGTTTCTTGATGTCTCCTTATGTGTTGATCGCTCTCGTCCTTTTCTCTCCTTGGA